TGACTACAATGTTGTGTATAATCCCATACATAGCAACACTCATCAGAGCACAGCATTTATGGAAAGGGGATGACTGTATGTGAATATTCCGTATGTTCCGACACATACACACACTATCATACATGTGATGCACAGTAATTGCCGCACATGTCAAGTATACCATCGATATGTGTGTACACTATCTGTGCCTATTAGTGAACCGCTAGGGCTATACATATCCATACCATTCACCCATCCATACACTATACGCACAGCCAATGATAAACACATGTACACTATATTATATGGGAATCTCTTCAACCTCCCGGTGCCCTTTGCACTAATCGCGCTAGTTAAGTTTCAGTGCCTACCAAGTGCTGCTCGTGTGAGTGCATTCTCCAGTATATATAAAAATTTAATTAATAATTTTTAATTTATTTTATATTTTATAATATAACAAAAAACCAACTCGGGTGTTACTGGTCGTCGGGTGTAGTATTCAGTAAATATTATGCTGATATTGTTTTTTAATTGTGTACTAAATTTACCATTTTGTTAGTGTTATCGTAAATGTGTAAATATTAATAAATACTAATTAAATTAATTGTAATAAGCTAATTTTTACATCGAGAGACATATAAAGTGTGAGTTGTGTGTGTGATATTTGCTTGTGGTAATTGACACTATCAGTGGATCCAACATACATCATGACGTCCAGAATGCGCCGGCGTTTATACCAGTTGGACACTATGCCGTCCACCGGTGGCCAGGGCTATCTCGATCATGGTGAAAGTGCGGCCATCGAGAACAAATGGGTGTTCGAAGTGGCCTGGGAAGTGGTCAACAAGGGTAATTTGTTAATTTAGTTTTTAATCTAGTTATATTAATAGCATTTATTCATTTACATAGTATTTTTATAGTATTATAATGTGTAACATTCATGTGTTGTATTGCATAAGTACTTGTGTGACCTATTATGCAGTGTGTGTGCTATACATGTGATCTATTAATACATTACATAATCGCATGTTATTTTACAAACATCACATTTTTTGGTGAGATTTATGTGCAATATTTGTTACCTGTAATACTGATTACTGGAAATTAGTGCTAGCATATTATAATGTTTTGCGTTTTATTATGGAAAATTAATTGTTATAATTAATCATCTGATTAAATGGGAAAGTTTTCGCACTTTGTATAGATTTTTGTTAATGATATTTATGAACTTGTTTAAAACTACATTTATCTTATTTATATTTTTATTTGTTAGTTATTTTTCATGCGAAAGTAAAATGAATGCCAATAATCACATTAAAAATTTTACTATTTATATAAAAAATAATTTTTATATAATATTAAACCCGTTTTGTAATATAAATGTTAATTAAGTGAAAAACACCTATCGATCCAGATGAGAAAAATATATTGAACTATCGAGATAAAAAGTTTGATTTATCAAAATAAATTGCGAAATACAATTTTGAAATAAATTACAAACATTAAAAAATAATTCAATATAACTAATGGATAGTCATATCTCTTTATATAATGGTTGGTAATATAGTGAAGGCATTTAATAAAGTATAAAAGCACATGTATTTTTAAATAGTTAAAAGTTTTCACTAGTTTTTAATAAATTTTTTGTAGATTGAATAAGGTGATTATCCTTGACTTACCAGCCCGTTCTGGCACTGGTATGACTTTTATACCCATACATAACTGGATATAAGTGATTCAATAAGAAACTTTTCCTATAGGAATTTTTCACAAATGTAGTAAAAATCCAACTCGATAGATATCTCATAAATCCATGATAACCTTGTAGAAAGTTGTCATCAATGATAGTCACTGTATGGTAAAAGTTATAGTATAGGGATCGGGATATTTATTGGGGACAGGGATGTGCCCATGCATTTTGGAGAGAGAGAGAGCTTAGATAGCATTTGCAATGACTTTTGATATTTTTACTGATTTAATCACAACTAAATATATTTATAAATGTCTTGAAATACAAAAACAAATAATATTTTAAGTCATGAATGAGAATAACATATGATTTAAATGTCGGCAAAAATAAAATTTTAATGTTAATTATGTGGGATTTTAATTAAAGCATTTAGATAATTTATTTTATATTATATAACTTATATACAGTTTATTTGCACTAATAATACAGTATGAAAGTATAATCTTATAATAAAAGTAATTTTATTTAGATTAAAAGTTATATAAAACTATCATATCTGGTGTGAATCGTGTGGTTGTGTTTATATCTAACGCTGATTATTAAATAACTGTTAAATTAATATAAAAAAATAATTTTAGATACAAAAAAAACTAAATTACAAATTAATATAAAACTAATTACAAATTAATAAACAATAATTAAAACAAAAAATGCAAACAAATAATTTACAACTAATAATAAACACATAATAATTTAACTAAATAAATTAAAATTACTTTTAACCATGCATACATTTTCACAGTCGGAGGCATATATACGGTAATCCGGACCAAAGCCCAGGTGACCAGCGAGGAGTTGGGCGATCAGTACGTACTCGTCGGCCCTTATAATGAACAATACGCCCGGACGGAGGTGGAGATCGAGGAGCCCACCCATCATGCTTTCAAGGGTGCCATCGATACGCTCAAGAGCTTTGGCATACGGGTCAGTCAATTAGCGCACATGTCTAACACCCACCACTTACCCCCTCCCCCCTCTCCAAATACATCGCACCACCTGTGCCCACCCAAATACCACAACCCCATACCTCGTTTACTATTGATAATGCTAATTACAATATAACAGTTAAGTTTTAATATTGTTTGTTTGTATACGTTATCTAGGTAATTTACGGCCACTGGCTCATCGAGGGCTACCCCACTGTCCTATTGTTTGACATCGGGTCCGCCGCCTGGAAACTGGACGAATGGAAACACGACTTCTGGAACGTAACCAATATTGGTAAAAAAATTGTACCACAAAAAACCAACTTGATAGTCACACTAACACCCCCTCCCCGAATAGGTGTACCCCATTTGGACAAGGAGTGCAACGATTGTCTAATATTTGGTTACGCTTTCACCTGGTTTTTGGAGGAGTTCTACCGCCGTATTGAGGAGGAGAGGGGCCGACCCCTGATTGTGGCCCAGTTTCACGAGTGGATGGCCGGCATAGGGCTGATACTGTGCCGCACCCGACACCTGGACGTGGCCACTGTGTTCACCACTCACGCCACGCTATTAGGCCGGCATCTGTGCGCCGGTGCCGTCGATTTTTATAATAATTTAGATAAGGTTTGTGTGTTTGTGGTAAACATTTTATTAAACTGTAATATTAATACAATTATCTGACCAATGTAATATATAATTTTGAAAATAGTAATAATAGGCATCTAAACCCCAACTGCTTTATATTTTTAAATACTGTATATACTGGATTATAATTATTGCAAAATTAATTTCTATTTTTAATGAGAGAGAGAGAGAGAGAGATTAAAATTAAAACATTTTAACGAACTGTAATATTAATAGAATTATCAGATCTATATAATAGATTATTATGAAAATATTAATAATAGGGTACGAAACCTCACTTACTATTTATTTATGTTTATCTATATTGTGTTACAATTAAAATTAATTTTTATGTTTAATGTGAGTTAAAGTTAAAGATAGGGAGATTGAAACATAATTAACACATAATGTTAATTAATAACTAACATTTTTTACCATATTCCACCCAGTTTGAACTAGACCGGGAGGCGGGCAACCGGCAAATCTACCACCGATACTGCATGGAGAGGGCGGCGGCCAACTCGGCCCACGTGTTCACCACCGTATCGGACATCACTGGGCTGGAGGCCGAGCATCTGCTCAAACGCAAGCCCGACATAATCACACCCAACGGGCTGAACGTGAAAAAGTTTGCCGCCCTCCACGAGTTTCAAAACCTACACGCCAACTCCAAGGAGAAAATTCACCAATTCATACGTGGTCATTTTTATGGTCACTACGATTTTGATCTAGAGAAAACGCTGTACTTTTTCATTGCCGGCCGCTACGAGTTTAGCAATAAGGGCGCCGACGTGTTCATCGAGTCGTTGGCCCGACTCAACCACTATTTAAAGGTATGTGTGTCATGGTCACATTACCCACACTCCCCTGCCCATTACTATTGTTAATTGTCATCTAGTTAACTATCCAACTAAGCTAGTTTAGTTATGTCCCATGTAATTAACTTTATGGCTAATTGTGTTAACCATTAAATATCTGTTGGGTTTAGTATAGTGTGATTATACTAAATTTTAATTTATTAAAAATGATCATGTTTGTTATTTTTGTAGTCTACGGGCAGTGATGTGACGGTAGTGGCGTTCCTGATATTTCCGGGCAAAACAAACAATTTCAATGTGGACTCACTGAGAGGTCAGGCCATCGCCAAACAGCTCCGGGACACCATCGATGACGTCCAGAACAATATCGGCAAACGGCTGTTCGAGCAGTGCTTAGGGTATGTAAATATATGTGCATGTTTATTTAACAAATTGATTAATAACTAGTTACTAACTGTAAAATACAAATATCAATATTTATTATATGCTTTTATACCAGATAAAATTTTATAATATGGGAATTGATTAGATTTGATTTAGTTTATTATTATACTTTTAATTTTTATAATAATTAAAATTAACTTTTAATTACATACCTTATTTTTCCGGACATATCCAGCGGTAAATTACCGGACAGCGAATCACTACTACAGCCGGACGACATAGTTAAACTGAAACGATGCATATACTCTGCCCAGCGTACGTCACTGCCGCCCATCATCACACACAACATGACCGATGACGCTAGCGATCAGATACTGACGGGCATACGTCGGTGTCGACTGTTCAACAACCGGGAAGATAGGGTCAAAGTTATATTTCACCCGGAGTTTCTCTCCAGCACCAGCCCTCTCTTCCCCATTGACTACGAGGACTTTGTGCGCGGCTGTCATTTAGGTTAGTTTATTTTGTTTTATGCACCATGTATTAATTAAATGGTTATTAATTTAAATAATTTATTTAATATATGCCATGTTTAATGAACGGTATTTAAGCCACCCTATTGTAATGTTAATTAAGTTAAAACATTTTTTCAACCATTAGTCAACTCCCATCTATTTTTATTATAGAACATGTAATTTTATTTTACCTATGCGCACAAATTTTTAACAATATTTACATTTTAACCCAGGCATATTTCCCTCATATTACGAGCCCTGGGGCTACACGCCCGCCGAGTGTACCGTATTGGGCATACC